ATTGGGCCTATTTCACTATCCTGGGATACTGTCTGATAGAAAATGTGGATCATGGCAAGTAAGTAGACAGACTCCTAAACACCAAAAGTTCATAAGAATAAATTATGGTTTAGACTTGGGGTAAGAAAGGAGAAGTTCCACTCAGAATGGTGGAGTAAAGAGCTCCTCAGAATCGCTCCACAGCTATAGAGCTGTAACTAACAAAAAATATTTTTAGACCCTTTTCCGTTGTATGGCTAGTGAAGATCTTCTCCCAATCCGTGGGCTTTCTATTGATCTTGCTAGCTATGTCCTTTGCCATGCAGAAGCTCTGCAATTTCATGCAATCCCATTTGTCCAACCCTTCTTTGATTTGTTGTGTTTCTGGGTCTCTATTGAGAAAATTTCAGCCTGTGCTAAGGAAACCTAGGGTTTCTCCTATTCCATCCTATAGTGTTTTCAGAGTGTCTGCTTTACTAGCCATACAACAGACAAGGGTCTCATACCTAAAATATACCTGGAACTCAAAAAATTAAATCCCCCAAAAACAAATCTTTAAAGAAACAACTGCCCAATAAATAAGTGGGCTAAAGACTTAGTTTCTCTAAAGAGGAAAGAAGGATGGCCAATAGACATATGAAGAAATGCTCAACCTCTCTAGCCATAAAAGAAATGCAAATCAAAACAACATTGAGATATCACCTCACCCCAGTTAGAATGGCTATAATCAAGAACTCTAATAACAACAGATGCTGGAGGGGATGTGGACAGAAGGGAACCTTACTGCATTGTTGGTGGGAGTGTAAACTTGTTCAACCACTTTGGAAAGCAGTATGGAGGTTCCTCAAAAGACTCCACATAGAGCTCCCCTATGACCCAGCAATCCCACTTTTGGGCATTCATCCAAATGTTCACAAACAAGAGCACACTAAAGTTACCAGCACGACTATGTTTATTGCAGCATTATTTACCATAGCTAAGATATGGAACTAACTCAGATACCCCTTAGTAGATGAATGGATCAAGAAAATGTGGTATATATACACAATGGAATTCTATGCCTCCATCAGAAAGAATTACATTACCCCATTTGTTAGGAAATGGAAAGACTTGGAAAAAATTATATTAAGTGAAGTAAGCCAGGCCCAAAGAAACATAGGTCCCATGGTTTCCCTTATTTGCAATAACTAGTATATGTCTGAGTCAAGCCGAAAAGGTCAGTTAAATTGATGTTAGGGAAATGAACTCTAAGATATGTATTCAAATTTTTTTTCCTTTCATGCAATTGTTTCTAACACATTTATAAGATTATTTCTTTGTTGCTCCCCCACAGTATAACCCCTGCTTTCACTGTATTTGATGTTGGTATAATTTGTGGAGGGGAAGGGCAAAAACAAATCGTTTAACTAGGGATAAAGGTGGACCCATTGCAACAATGAGATGTAAAAGTCGTTATGTCGAAAATCGAACTTTACAACTTTGGTGGCGGGGCGGGGAAGAGGGGGAGTATTGGGTAGGGGAAGGTAGGGGGAGTAATGGGAATGGATGGGAAGAGGAAACAAAGAGGAGGCAAGAATGCTTGATAAGAAATGTACTCATTACTCATTATCTTGCCCATGTAATTGTAACTCCTCTGTACAGTATTCTCACAATAAAAAAAAAGAAAAATATTTTTTAATAGCAACCATTTAAAGTCTCTGGAAATTGTCCTACAAGCATATAGAAAATTTAAAAAAAAAACACTTATTCAAGACAATCTACGAAGTGTTGATAAGAATCCAGTGGTGCCCCTGCCAGAAATTCTGACAAGACAGACTGTGTCTTGAGACAAAGTTCACACCCTTCACAGCTCTTTTTTCCACCCTCTCTTACCTTGGTTCTTGCTCTTGTTTATCTCTATATTTTCTTACTTTTTTCTACTTCAGATTTTAAAAGCTTCCCAAATACACTCAGAGTACATATATCCCAAATCATGGAAGTGTTATCTAATGCTTTTCTCCTTCCTGTTTCCTAGCCAGTATAGTAGCTTTTAGAGTGCTTCTTCTGTCCAGCCTTCTGGTGGATCCTAACTTAATTGTATTGCCTATAAGAAAATACATTTTTCATGTAACTGTAACTCCTCTGTACAGCATCTTGACAATAAAATAAAATTTTTAAAAAAAGAAAATACATTTGTAAACAGAATCTATCTACAAAAAGCAGAGGTACTGGAGTTGACAAAGATTTTAAAAACCAGGCTTCAAAAAGTACTAGTAGATGTAAAAGTCTCATCAAATAGAGAATACTAATAAAGATAAAAACAAAAACTATACATTATTTTAGAAATCGTTTACAACAGATTTGTCCTTTCACTCCCATTTACTCATGTATCCAGTTATTTATTTGTGTAGGGATAGACTGATAGGTAGCTATTTGATAATCTTGGGTTATAATCCAACACTGCTTTGTTTACATTATTAACATTTTTCAGCTTTGGTCATTGAGAAAGCTTATTCTGTTCACTCCTGGATCCTTTGATATATTCCCATGGATATAGGTTTAAAGAGTTTGAAATCGTTTAGTTTATTTTTAACACTTCTTTACTTGTTGATCATGTAAGATGCTTTTTTTTTCAATCCTAGAATCATCCATTTTCCCAAGAATTCCCAAGCTCTTTTTATTAGAGAATTGTCTTTGAAACCAAGATCTGGGTACTATAGTTACTCTGTGATTTCTTTTTAAGGTAAGATAAATGTGATAAAAACTGAGTGGTAATAGTTGTACAACTTTGTAAATACACTAGTAAAGCACTACCGTGTCCACTTGAAATGGGTGAATGATATCATGTGATATGTGAAAATAATGTGCTTACAAGAAAGAGAAAGACAACAGTTGATCTGTGGGAGTGTTCTTTCATAAAGCAAAAAAGGTATATAGATGAAAGCTATACCCAACCCCAAATCCTTTGCCAGTTAGAGTTGAGCACATGGCCTCAAGGTGGTGGTTAGGAAGGAATATATTTGGAATATCATTTACACACCAAGAATTACTGCCATGAAAATAAGAAAATCTTAAGATGTGTAAAAACTTTTTAAAGAAAATTAGGCCATTCCAAATCGTTCAAATTGTATCTCCCTCAGGGTCCTGGGGACTCTTACATGTGACATGATTTAATCAGAGCTCTGAAACAATAGCATGGAAAGAACAACAGATCAAAACCTCCTACATTCATGGAAATACTAGGGAGCCTAAACTAGTTTACTGTCTGTAATGGGAAACATTGAAGTCGTTTCTAGGCAGCTGGCATGAGCTTTGAATGCATTCTCACTGTATTGAAATGAAGATCCAGCACCTTATCAGAGTTCTGACACTGTCAGAAAACATAAGGCTAGCCAGGTGTGAATGCTATTCATTTGCCGAATGCTCTCCGAAGCACAAGGCTCCTTTATTCCATGTGTGGGAGACTATTTCTAGGTATCGAAAATGTAGGAGGAAAGAACAGAAAGTGAGGATGCATATCCAGGCAGTTATACAGCCACTTCTGGTGAGTATTATTACCATTCTCAGTGAGAAGCCTTATTGGTTTCCATGCTTGTTCTTGCTTTACAGGGGCCAGTGCATAATCTTGACTGTATGAATATGAGTAGATGTAAGTACAAATAAAAAGAGATTATAAATAGATAGGTAAGGATAATAGTATGTGTGTGTGCATGCACACACATGTACATGTATACAGTTGGCCCTCAAAAATGAGTTCAACCTACAAATTCACCAATGAATTCAACCAGTCACAAACCATAAGTACTTGGGAGAAAACTGCATCTGTGCCAAACATGTAGACATGAGCATGAACATGTCATTATTCCCTAAACAATAGAGTAAAACTATTTACATACAATTTACATTGTGTTATGTCCTATAAGTAATCTGGAGTTAATTTAACGTGGTGGGAGGATATACATAGGTTAGATGCAAATATTATATATGCTATTTTATGTGAGGGATTTGAGCATTCCCAGATTTTGGTATCTGTGGGTGGTCCTGGAACTAACTCCTTACATTAAAGGATGACCATACAAGAGACTGTAATATAATGGTAAAAGACAACATTGGAGAGTTAAACTTAGTAAGTTCAAACTCTATTAGTAGGATTGTGAGTGTTCTACATCTGTGTTTCATATTCCTTATCTATAAATAAGAAAAAATACCTATCTCTGTGGTGACTAATAAGATAATGAATAAAGTACTTCACATACAGCAAATATCCTATGTTAACATTCAGTGTGTCTAGTTTCTCAGTGGTTGTGGAACTAGCAGATCCAATCTTAACTGCACACTCTGTGCCTAGAGTAAAGCATTTCCAATTGAGATTAATCTCTTGTTCGTTATTTTTCTACTTTGCACACTATTTTTTAAAAAATATTTACTTGATTCTGGTTACAAATGTCATATGTGTTCAACAAGGACACTAGGAAATTTAAGATAAAGAATGCAACTAAAAGTCATTATTCTATCATCTAAACATAAGTAAAAACCACGTTTTCCTTCTGTGTTTTGTCAGAGTATTAACTTGCTTGAGAACACACTGCTTATGCAGTTTCTATGCCTATTTCTTACTAGACACTATAAAATTAACTATGTTATCATATTATTTATAGACTTCTTGTTAAAGATGGCATATTGACCATGTGTGTTTATATTCTATCCTTCCTAAGGTCCATTTAAAATGACAATAAAGGAATCTAAAATGTATACAATTACTAAGATAAAGGGAATGTGAGACAGATAAGAGCAAATACAAGACTGCAACAGTTTTTTGAAAGATAGGAGAGAAGAAAAATAGTGAATTTTCTGAGCAGAGGAGGCTGGACACCATTGTCTGTGAAGGTAGATAATCCAAGAAAGATTATTTTACCTCACAGGTTCAAGTAGGCTGAAGACTCTGGGACAAGAGATGTCACTGACAACTAGATAAAGGATCCAAACTAGGATTGGAGTCTTAACATGGAACTGTTGCTTTCATATCTCCCATTCTCTCAGCCTTTCCTCTCCTCTTCAGTAAGAAACCCAAAGTTCAGTTTCTGGATAAATTAAATCAGAGAGAATCGGGACTCAGAAAACATCAAATGCAGGAATATGAAGGGAAAAGAAGTTTGATATAAATTCAAGAGAACTGAGTGAAATTCTGGGTATGTGTTGGAGAAACCTCAGCTCTCTGTTCCCTCTACTTCAAAACAATACATGTACACTCCAGGAAAGAAGAGTCAATGATTCTCCAGTACAAAAATGTATATGCCTCTAGAATAAGTCCAGGTAATACTTCTGTGTCATATGGTAATTCTATGAGTTTTCAGGCCAACCATCCTTGCATTCCTGATATTAACAGCATTTGATTATGATATTACTTTTTATGCACAAAGAACTTGAGGTGTGGTACCTGCTAGCAAAGCCTCAGAGTTCAAACCTCAGCATCACCAAAACAAATTTTGGAAAATGAAACAAATTAGATTGGGAAATGTTTGTTCTCTTTATACTTTTCAAATACTTTCAGGAACAATGTATATCAATCAGGAATTAACTGATTTGTTTTGAAGTCTGATAAATATTGACCACGTAGCTCTCTGAATGAAGTATATTAAAAGGGAAGTGCTTGATTGACAGCTTTCAGTATCTACTACTTTAATATTTAATTCTGTCACACTGACTGACCAGACTATATGAGTTTTCTATTCTTATATAAACTCTGCTATTTTATATCTTTAAAAATTTGCTCATTTCTCTGTTCAAATCTAATTAGTATTTCTTTCTTTAAAAAGTTTTCTGAAGTAATTTTCTCCTTTTCATTCTCAATTTAGTTTACTTGTGTACTTAGAAATATCTTAAAGAAATAACTTGGGGTTTGACTAATCTCTTATTTTCAGGTGAGTGAGAACAGCCACAAGCACTATTTTACACATTACTATATTCATCTTTTCTTCTTCTTTTTTATTTGAATGTTCTATTGATGTTTTTAATTGAACTCTTAGCTTTTTATTTTTGCATTTAACCATTTTTATTTCTTGATTGGCCTATTTAAGGTATATATGCTCAATATTTGCTTTATTTCTGTCCTTTTAAATTCTTTTAAAAGGAGCAGCATTGTTATGAGGCATTTTTATTCCATATGGAAATTCACTGAATCTAAGGATTTGACAGAAGAGCAGCATTTGTTCGCTTGTTAACCTTTTGCTAGCTGTGGCTTCAGAAAGTTTGCCCTGGTAATAACAAGACATAGGGACCTGAGCCTAGAGCTTATCTTTACCTGAGGCAGGTAAAGATGATGAGGAAACTACATAGGAAAGCAAAACTTTGTTTTTCCAGCCCATCTTCTACCACAACACACACACACGCGCGCGCGCGCGCGCACACACACACACACACACACACACAACTTGTTTCAGGCTTCAAGTGTTTCTTACTTTTTTGGAAGGAGTTCTGGAAACCCATACTTTCTTCTCACTTCCAGTCTCTCTAGTTGATCCTGGAAAAGGTAACCCATAGCCATGGCAATCTGCCATCTTGACAAGAGCCAGAAACATTCTTTATTTTCAACATCTTCTTGGCTGTTCTTTACTCTTTTTATCTCCAGATCATTTAAAAAATAATTGTCTCCAGTTTCTTCCAAAAAAACCTGACTAGGTTGTTAATCATATTCATCTTACAGCTATGTCAATCTGTGCATCTCTGACATATTTATGACTGGTAATATTGCCACTCAGACATCTAATACGTGACTTGGGACACTGGATTTTTATTTTATATTCCCTAATAAAGTTTTGTTGTTTTATTTACATGGATCTCACGTATTTCTTGTTAAGGCTTTCTAGTCATTTTATGTCTTTTGCTGCTTTTGTACATGAATTACTTTTCACAGTATTTTATATAGATATTGCTGATTTATAGAAAAATTTATTGCTATTTTTAAGTATGTTTATTATTGGTAGCTGAAAAAGCTACCGTGGCATGCAATGCAGGGTAACTTTGGAATGGGACACAGACTGATCTCTACATGGTAACTGTAAATTCTAATAATGAGAAAAACAGCTTTAAAATATCCTCTTAAAAAGTAAGTGAAAAAAAAAACCATTTTATTTTAATAGTAGGAAGTAAAACTTACACTTGTTTTATTTGTAATTTTCTTATTGAAAATATAACCAATAGAGTTAATATTTTTCTCGTGATCAATGTGATATATGGTTAAAACTTTTGAAGAAAATTTAAATGATCAATTAATTCAAGGAGGATTATAGTACTTAGCGAAATCCAGTGACTATATTTTTGTGTGAACGTACATACTTTTTTGTATACATTAAGTCATCAATTTATGCCTTGAAAGTAGTCATAAATAACTTTCCAACATGACTACACATGTCCAGTAGTCTGATGGACAGCCATTATGCATGTTTTTGTAAATTATTTTGGTTTGTTTATTGAGGAAACTTGGAAGACAAGTCACTTGAGAAACTTTCTTTGATCTGATGGATAATCTCTTTCAGAAAAAGAATCCAGATATGTTAAATTCACTTGGTTAGGAAGGACCTGAATGATCCTGAGTCTAGATCAGATTGGTCACCCAAATCTATTCCCAGCCCAGTCCCTCTTTTTCCTATCTTTAAGTGCTATGAACAGAATCAGGTGGTACCTACACTTCAGGGGCACCAGAAACATGTTTGGAGGCCAACAAACATTGTTTGTTGGGAGAAATAGGATACTCTCCCTCGTTTCCTACAAGTGACTTTCCAAGTCACCAAAGGCAACCTCCAGGAATCACCAGTAGGACCTCAGAGCTGTAGCAATGCCCAGTGTTTACCAGAAAAACCATTTACATGTGCACAGGCCTGATACTTCCAAGCTACTTCACAGCCCCAGGAGGACAAATGGGTAATTCAGATGAGTAATTACAAATGGAGCCAGTAACATCTGAGCCTTAAAAATGTCTGTGTTAGGCCTGAGGAGGTTGGAATAACTTATATGTATATTTTTAACCCTGAAATTTGGATCCAATTTACATGTTTTGATGCCATTATTTCTGCTTTTAAATAGTCTCTGAACAATATAAGAAAGATGGAAGTAATGTTTTCCTGTTTCAAAATGCTTTGAACTGGGCTGGGAAGTTGGCTCAGTGGTAGAGCGCTTGCCTTGTATGCCTGAGGCCCTGGGTTCGATTCCTCAGCACCACATAAGCAAAAAGAAAAAAGCCGGAAGTGGTGCTGTGGCTCAAGTGGTAGAGCGCTAGCCTTGAGCTGAAGAGCTGAGGGACAGTGCCCAGGCCCAGAGTTCAGGCCCCACGACTGGACCCCCCCCAAAAAAAATACTTTGAACTATTTTATTAGTTGCTAAATAATTTTGAAAGTCACCATAAAAGAGAATGAAAGGTACCCTAGGTTATGATTGATATCATTTTTAATTTATTAGGCCCTTAATTTTCAAGTCAAGTTTCTTTCATTTCTATTTGATTTAATGCAAATTTTAAAAGTTATTTTTAAGTGGTATAAGCCCAATATTTGCAATCTTACCAAAGAAAGAGGGGAATCATGACTCTTAGGGGGAGAGAGTATCTCTTTTTAGACTTGAGGAGGAAGTTCCAAATTCATTTATCTGCTTATTACTTAGCACTACAAGACTGACAATGTCTAGCATTATAAGGCCCTCATCATAGTCATAGTAGCTGGCCTTTCAAGAGTTGATTCTCAATCAGGGAATGATGATACATACCTTTAACTCCATTCAGGATGCAAAGGCAGGAGGAAGATGAGTTCAAAGCTATCCTGAGCTACACATTGAGACCCTGTCTCAAAAAACAAACAAATAAACAAAATCTCACTAAAAACAAACAGGCAAGAAAAACAGTTGGTTCTCTTTAATACATGTGTACATATGCACATATAGACTATATATTCACTAGTATATATAACAAATAAGCTAATTATACAATATACATGAACAAATATATCCATACTTTTACAGATAAAACACACAAATATGTGTGCATATATATGTGTTTATATGTGTGTAGACATCATATGGAGAGAGAAGCAGAATAAAACTTCAGAACCTGATGGTTATTTTAGCACATATTTCTGTAGTTGATTTTCATTTTTCTGAGATTACATGTTTGCAGTTTAGCCTAGGAGCTAAAATAACTTGCAGCTCAAGTCATTTCCAAGGAGCAAACATGAAGACAGTGGTCTTTGAGAGCAGGTACCACAATTCTACTGCTCAGTGGGGAGTAAAACTTACTTGACCCAAATTACCAGAATAATAACAAAAATATATTTCACTTCGAAACACATTTAAGTCAGATTAACAAACCTAGCTGCCTGGCTAGGTTTAATGATCTCAAACTGTGTTGAGTTAATTGTAGTATTCAGCCATCTCCTGTCTGACCCCCTCATTCTACACAGCCTTCCTGACACTACAGCAGTCTTTTCCCTTAAATCGATTCCTCAGGGCTTTACAGGTGAGAAATGAGTGGGTGAGCCTAGCTCTTTCACTTTTTGGGGTTCATTATTATTGTTGCATTCACAAGCTTCTCATCACAGAGTTCCCCAGTCCTTAGGAAAAACTAACATTCCTTTTCACACTTAGGTAATTCTAATTTCCAGTAATTCTTTATGCATATATGTTTTAACGGAAATAAGATTATTTTACCACCCGCTTGACTTAGGAGTTACTGAGAATTTATGAGAAAGCTGCCCTAAAAGAGACTAAAAATGAACTGGGAAGGTTGGCAGGGCAGAGGAGGGAAGGATGCCCCAACACACACACACACACACACACACACACACACACACACACACACACACACACACACACACGAGTCCCTTTCTGATATTTGCATCTTCTACTCCTGAATTCATTCATCCTTCAGAGCTCTTTGTCTGCACAAAGTGTGTGAATGTGTGCATGGTGTTAACCTGAGAAAGTCCCACAAGATCTCTGAACTTCATGGGTTTGAAAATAGATGTTGATAAAGAAAACAGCAGCAACAATGGCAACGAAAAAATGTCTCTTGTTTTCTTTTCTTGGAGTTCATTTCATGGACTATTATTTTATATGATTATTGTTAACCACTCCTATGCATATCCTTTTGCATTTCCTTTTGTCTTGTTAGTTTGCTTGTATTTCACATGAAAAGTGGAACAAGGGTGAACAAACACTACAGTGGTACTCACTAGATACTATGTGGAAAATGAACCGTATATGTTGGACGAGAGTGACAGACGGTCCAAAAGTAATTGTACTCATCAATCATTACCTGATTGATGTAACTATAACCCTCTGTATATCAATTCTACAATAACACTAAACAAAAAATAAGATAATTTTTTAAAAAAAGAAAACAACAAAACATTAAGACCACTTCCAAAAGTCTATTCACCTTCTTATAGAAAACCCACCATCGGGAAGGGGTGGCTGGGGTGAGATAGTGTTTTTAGAGGTTTGGTCCTTGTTTCTCAGAATAGGTCATTTGAGTTCAAATAGCCTCTCTCTCTCTCTCTCTCTCTCTCTCTGGGAACTCTTATATATGGGCTGAGGTATTGAAAGAATTAAACCTGAGTGCAGGTCTGGGCTTGGGAATGTAGGCAGAGTGGGGCACTGGAGAGCAGCTCCTCAGCTTTGAAAAAGTGGGAGCAGGTTTTGTGGACCAATTGGAGCCTTTTTCTTCCTACCAGATTACAAGTGCCAGCTGAGGCCCGACACCTTGTTTTATTGTGTGAAGTCAGGAAAGAGATCTCTCAATTATCTTCAAATTAACTGCCTCTCACCATTATCTTCTCCCTGAGGACCAATCAGAGTGTGTGTTTGGAAAAGCTGGGAGTCAGCCTACCACTTCATCCACAGTCTGAGATCCTTCCCCCCCTCCCACCCCCCTCCACCATCCTCCCAGACAGCACCCCGCCAAAGTCATCTGTGGCTGCCATTTCTCATGACAAACTTTAATGCTTTAATTAGGAAGCATCTGCTGTGTCCACTTTTCACAAACACCATATGGTGCTCAGTTCGAAAAAGGTTTCATTTTCATGAAGGCAAAGCCTTTGCAAAGGGCAGCATTTTGAATATCAATTGTTGTTCCCCCACTGAGGGAAGAATACATTTGCTGTGCTTCCAAAGAGATCAGTGTTGAAAAGAATGAAGGGGCTTTATTCTCTACCTGGACAAGACATTTTATGTGAGAATAAAGTAGAATTTGATTTTTAAGGATCAGAAACTCAAAGCCTTTTAGAAGATATTCCAAGAATCCTCTAAGCATTCTAAAGACTTAAGATAGGAAATGTCCCGCACTAATGTTTCCAATTTTTAAGGATGTGTTAAAAACACCATCTCCCATACACTGAGTATTTAGACAATCTGGGGCCAATGTCCCTACCTGAAAAGCCAGCTCCTGGCTTTGCAAGGTCTCAATGTATGAGTGAAAATCAACAGCTTTATTTCTTTGACAGTCATAAACTGACTTGAGAAATATAACCCAATGGGATATGGTCTTTGGGCTTGTTTTCTTTTCAAATATGTGTCCTTGGAATAACAAATCTAAGCTTTCCAAAGTTCACATTTCTCTAAACCTCAAGAGCTTTATAAGGCCAGTTCAGGATCTTTTCACCAGTGAGAAGCAGGGAGAATACAGGCCACATTCCAACATGGACCTTTTCCTGCTTTTATGCAAATCACTCAACATGCAAATGATTAAATAATTAAACCATTATAGTGTTTGAATAAGTCATTTATATTTTCTCCCTTGCTCAGTTCAAGGAGTTACTATTCCTTTGTTGGAAGCAACAGGACAGGGTTAGGAAAAATTCCCGCAGAAGATGTAGGAAGGATTGGACCAGGAAGGGCTATAATTAGTCATTTTCATTTTAAAATAAATAAAGCAGTTGATGCTGTGGAGTGAACCCCAAGGCCTTGTCTGCAAATGAGGGGATGGGTTCCTTTCTCCATTGCTACCAAGGCCCCTGTTTTTTGTTCCAGCTTGGGTATCAGTCACCTTAGTGTCCTCTTTGACTCTACTACATAATTATGAGCTACCACATGTGGCTTCTGAGACACAACTTTAATTATCCAAACTCAAGCACACAACAGAGCCTGAATAGAGTGAACAAAAGCCTATTAGAAGGTGATCCCCTGTGGTCACATTGTAATTATTGTCAGGGGCCGTGGTGGGCTGTGGAATTATCTCTGCAATCTCTCACTAACCTTCCATGCTAAAGTCACGTGAAAGATGATTTGTGCCATAATCTCATTTCCTTTAATGGTGTGACACTAAAAATAAAGGGGCGGGGAGTGGGGAGTGTCTGCTGATGGCTGGCTCTGGCAGAAACTCAATTCAGAAGGTCAGCACAGATGTGCAAACACAGCACAGGCAGCAATTATGGCAGTGATGAGCCTCTAGCCTTATACCCAGCAAGCCAGGAGCTGGGAACAGCGGGGCATAGCTCCCACGGAGACATTTAGCAAGGAGGAGTAAAGCTGAAAGAGCTCTGTGAATGAGAGCATACTGAAACCACCCACCAGAGTAGCTTAGGGAGTCTTCTCCCAAGATTTTTATGAAAGAAGAAAGCATTATTTCACTATTGTGGCAGGTCTTGAAATAGAAGATACTGAACCAATGCTCATAAGCCTCTTCTCTGCTAGGAGGAAGCATGCTTTTTCCCCCTCATGAGATGCTCAGATTTTCTCCCCTGACCTCTCAGAGTAGCACATGATGGAACCTAGCACAGATTTTTCACTTCTTAACCATGTGAAGTTGACTGTCCAGCTCCTGTTCAGAACCCACAGGTCAACCTGAAAAAAAAGAAAAAGTTTTAAGTGAAAAAGCAACTGCTACTTAAATTGCTTATTTTGCTGGCTTTCTTGACATTTTATGTACTGGGTAGATGATAATGATTTAATCATAACATAGACTCCTATAAAACAAGCAAGAAAATTCAGGTTTATCAGCATAGAAGTTATTAACTTAATCGCATTTAATTTCTTTTTTCTTTCCCATAGTTCCAAACTTCTCTAAGACCTATTGTACTTTGGGAAGATGTTCTTGAACAACTCTATCCCCATCCTTAGCCCCATTCTTCTCATGATTTATCTGTGTGCATGTTATCCTATATAAATTAGCAGACAGAGGCCTCCAAAGACCAGCATTATGTGACCCTGAATAAATCTTGTCATTTTCCCCAGACCCTTCCAAACTTAGTCTTGCTGTGCTAGTTCACTGTGTTCCCCCAGGCTGGAAAGTCCTTCCTATTGTCACATCCTGCCCTTGGGAATGACTCCATTCTTCCTGGTCAAACTTCAGGACCATTTAGTTTTGCTTATTTTCTGAAGATTGACAGTTCTCAATCTCTTTGAACCTAAACTTTATTTTCATTAGCACGCTTACTTCCACTACTACTAAGGGCCTCATTGCACCAGGCATTACAATCATTTGTGTGTACTCTATACTATTTTCCAGAGTGTAACTTCTTGGGGTAATGATTAGGAATTATTCATTACTGCAGTTTGATCTTGGAGATCCCCACAAAGGATCATGTATTAAAGGCTTGTCCAGAAAATGTGGTATATATACACAATGGAGTTCTATGCTTCCATCAGAAAGAATGACATTGCCCAGTGTGTAAGGAAATGGAAAGACATGGAAGAAAAGTTATACTAAGTGAAGTAAGCCAGACCCAAAGAAACATAGGCTGCATGGTTTCTCTCCTTTGTAATAACTAGAATGTACGTATAAATCTCCAAGTGAACCCAATGGACGGCAAAAGACAAATAATTACACTTGGTCATGATTAATTAAACAGCAGTGTAAATATTCACAGTGAGACAAAGGAGGGTATTCTTAGGAGAGGACTGCAAGAGCTCAATAGCTACATGCATAAAATCACATAAAATGGTGCTTATCAAAATGAACTCCAAGAAATGGAAGTGAAAGGTTTTTGTTTTGTTTTGTTTTAAGCCTTTTTTTGTTGTGAAGGTGATGTACAGAGGGGTTACATTTGCATAAGTAAGGTAGTAAGTACATTTCTTGTCAAATTTATTACCTCTTTGCTCATTTTCCTCCTACATTCCCTCCCTCCAACCACCCCTCCCCAAGTTGTACAGATCATTTCCAACATATTGTCTGTGTAGACCACTGTTGCATTGGCTTCCCCCTTGACCTTTGTAATAAGAGGTTTTTTTTTTGTTTTTGTTTTGTTTTACAATACTGTTTGAGATTCTTTCCTTATATATTTTTTTCTTTTTTGCGGGGGGGCGGGGAGGGGGTCCAGTCGCGGGGCCTGAACTCTGGGCCTGGGTGCTATCCCTCAGCTCTGCAGCTCAAGGCTAGTACTCTACTACTTGAGCCACAGCGCCACTTCCGGCTTTTTCTGTTTATGTGGTGCTGAGGAATTGAACCCAAGGCCTCATGCATGCAAGGCAAGCACTCTACCACTGAGCCACCTTCCCAACCCATTTTTCTTTTCTTTCTTTTTCTTTGGTTTATTCCTTTTGGTTACTATTTATTATTTCTATACTCTTTGTCTTGTATATAAGTTTATCTGATTTGGGGAGAAGATGGGAAAGCACAGAAACACTGGGACAAAGGGTGAACCATTTCATCAGTGAAACCCACTAGACAATATGTTGGAAATGAACTGTACAATTTTTGGGGGCAGGGAAGTCAGGAGGGGAAAAACTAGGAGAGAATACGGGAGGAGGTGACACTGTTCAAAAAGAAATGTACTTATTATCTGATGTATCACCGTAACCCCTCTGTACATCACCTTTACAATAAAATTTAAAAGAAAAGAAATATGGTATTTCAAAAAAACAAATACAGGCTTGATTCTCCACAGTAGTGCAAACTGGAAGATTGTGTGACCTTCAAGAAGTAGTGTCTAGCAGGAAGTCCCATGATCAATGGAGATGTAGCCCTGAAACAGCTGTGAGCTGCTGGCCCCCTCTCCCACCCTTGTTTTCACTGTAGGTAGATGTTGGTAGAATTTGGGGAGGGGAAGGGAAAAACAAATTGTTTAAATAGGGATACAGGTGGACCCATTGCAACAATGATATGTACAAGACATTATGTTGAAAAACAAACTTTACAACTTTGGCGGGAGGGAGAGGGAGGGGGGATGGGAGGGCAGGGATGGTAAGGAGAAACAAAGGAGGAGGCAACAATGCTTGATAGGAAATGTACTCATTACCTTGTTCATGTAATTGTAACCCCTCTGTATGGTATTTTCGCAATAAAAAAGACCTTATTAATAGGAGAAATAAAAAGCAAAAAAGGAATAAAATATACTGAATGAAAACCAATTTAAAAAAAGAATCTAACTATGCCTGAATTCATGTACTCTTGTCTAACTGTACTAAGATCCATTGGCTCAGATAGTTTCTTCCCTGAACATCTTCCTTCCAACAATTCAAATGGAAAAGGAACCAATGAAAACTTTTCTTGCATAAAACCATGAGAGGTGCTTTCTGAAAGCACATTAGGTAACCCAAGTTGGAAAGTAACAAGGAATACGGAGGGGAGGGAAGTATTATCGTAAGGTGCTAAGTAGACATGAGTAGAAATGGGAGATGTCCCCATAGTATAATATTCCATTGGAAAATCCCACCCAGATGATCCCCACCCTAGATCAATGTTTGAAATATGTCCCAATATCCTCCTTATGAAACACACTCCTAGTATCAAGGTTGGGCATGCCCCTGGATGCCCTAAGAACTGAAATGAAGACCTTACCCTGGCAGCTCTAAAATGGAAATGGCAGGTTAAATGTGCAGGCTATGACTTTCCACACCCTGGCAGCCACTGCCTGAAGCTAACCCATTTGGAGAAAGTCCATGAGGAGGGAGCTTCATTTCCATACCCATAATAACCTCATCCTATTGAACAAACTCCCAGGACCAACAGTTTCCACGCAAGCTGTCCCTTAGCCAACTGAACCCTGCATCTTTGAGGTATACTTCTGCTTTGCCAGTAAATTGTTCTTTACTATACTCTTCTATGTGTGTGTGTGTGTGTGTATGTGTGTGTGTGTCTGTCTGTGTCTGTGTGTTTGTGTCTGTGTCTGTGTCTGTCTGTGTCTGTCTGTCTGTTGGGTCTATATGTGGGTTTTAGGTCAGGGTTTGGCCCTCTCACTTGGCTTTTTCACTTATAGTTGGCTCTCTGCTACGTGAGCCATGCCTCTAGCCCTGCTTCTTTTGCTTCATCTGAAACAGTCTCCTACTCTAACACATTGTATCCAAGAACTGAGGAACATCTATTAGCACTTCATCTGCTAGCAACAGAGTTGTAATAATTGTACTCCCGTGCCCTGCTCTCTTTCAGCTAGCATTTGAGTGCCTGTGAAGTGGCAGACCATACCATGCTGATAGGGTTTTGTTCTTTATTGTAAATGCTATTGGTGTAAGACAGACTTTACAGAAGAGTTCCTCTTTGATCTGAATCTGAATAATGCAAGTCTATGCTGCAAAAGTAAGTCCCTGAGCTCATAGCATGATTTTGTCTTTGGCTACCTTTTATATTCCTGATTTTCTTCATATAAGGACTATCAATTGTTTATCATTATAATCAAGAGTCACTTTGATATTTTATTTGTATGCATGGCCTGAGCATGAACTCAGAGCACTGTCTCTGAACTTTTTCCAAACTAGTGATCTACCACTTGAGCCAGAGCTCTGCTTCTGGATTTTGGGTAGTTAATTGGAGATGAGACTCAAGGACTGTTATCCAATCTATATAATTTATATACATTTCGATGACTTGGGAAAAAAAAAAAAAACAAATCACTTGAGAAAAGCCTAAAAAGCTTGACATATTTAACATACTCAAGAACTTTTCATGTGTCAAGAATTCTCCAATTGGAAAGTGATGCTGTGGCTCAAAGTGGTAGAGTGCTAGCCTTGAACAAAAGTGCTCAGGGACAGTGCCGAGGCCCCAAGTTCAAGACCCATGACCAACAACAACAACAAAGAATTCTCCAATTGTACCAAGTGGACCTTTTGAAAGTAATAAGTAGAAGACTGGTTTCTAATAACTTTGTGGCTGATATAGTACAATTTAATATGTCATCATACCCAAACTTTCCTTTCCCACTCAAAAAAAGGCCATTTTCTGATACATTGCAAACTCTCTGTGAAGATTAATCTTTAAATTTTAAAACAGTATAAGGAAAATCTGTTGCCTCACAAGTGAGTACACCATTTTTTATTCTGAATATCTAGAATGAAGTCATTAAAAAACTTTTATGAAGACATCTTTGATCATTCATAAAAAGAAGTTTGGGCTTCAAACAGGAGTCCTCAGATCTCAACCTCCAGAGTAGCTATATTACAGGGGTAAGCTACCAGCACCTGGCTTGATTTTTTTTTTATTCTTCGTAATGAAAGTAAAAGCTACAAATTGAAAAGCAAGCCAGTATAAAATCTGGAAATTAGTAGTAGTGTTACTGATGTTGACTTTATAGTTTTGACAAATGTGAGGAGAAATTGGATGGAAAGTATACGGGAATTCTCTGTTCTATCTTCGCAACTTCTCTGTCAATCTAAAATTCTTCTAAAACAAAAATGTTTTAAAATAAAAAAAAAAAAACAAAATACATCCCTAAAGTAGCCCACAATAAAAGAATATTATTTAGAAGCCAAAAATAAATACACTCCTCCTATCCTTATCCGTCTTAGCTAATGTTTCGATATACCCTTTGCTCAAGCTGACTTGGTGAGGCAATGTGGACCAATCACCCCATCCGAAGCTTTCTAGCTCTTGGGATCTCTGAATGCAAATAGGGTCAAAGTCATCTGGGCTGGACCGGATAAGGTAGCCAAGAGACATTTTGTCTTAAGGTGCTAATAGTGATATAGGCTCTCCCTGGAGTTCTGACCCCAGTCTGTCATAGGCTTACTACCAGGGTTTTGTTCATCTAATGAATGGTTCCATAAGAAATAACAAAGGAAAGGCTTATTAAAGGTGAAGGCTTCATCCATTAAAATGTTCTTTGTCCTTAATGACGGCCAGTGGAAGACTGATTATAGGAGGAAATCTTCCTTCATGCTCACTCATATGTCTTAATTAATCACCATGCCAAGCAAGTCTGGATTTGTGTTTGCCTTCCTGCTTTAAAAGAATCTGGGGGAAGGGATTACTAAAACCATCATGGTGGGTTCTGCCAGCAGAGAACTGTATGTGACATACAGCCTCTTGCAAAACAATTAGGGCTTATTTCCTGAAATGAAATATTTTCAAGTATGTGTTTTTTCTTCCATCCTCCATCTCACAAAAACATTTCAGATTGTACTGTGGATATGGTAATGACCATTCACACATGGTTTCAGAGCACTTTAAGTGTGGTGAGTATGAATTGAGATGTGTATACATATAAAATTTGCACACTGGATTTCAAAGACTTATTATAAAAATGTAAAAAAAAATCTCATCAACTAGTTTATATTGAAGACATGCTGAAATTATAGCATGTTTAACGTGTGGGGTTAAATAACATGTGCTATTTAGTTTTATTTCATCTGATTCTTTGTCCTTTTCTTAAGGTGACTAGTAGAAAGTTTGGGATTGTATCTGTGACTCAAATGTTAATACTGTTGGCTAATGCTGATTAGGGTATCTAAAACAAAAAAAAAATGCTCAAAGACTTCCTGCGCCAACCGTTTCCATACACCTATTTTAAGGGCTAATTTTCAGGCAATGTAACAGGATGCAAAGTCTGGTATTCCTTTATCCTTCGTGATAGAATTGATAGAATTAGACCTATGTGTTCCCCTTGGCTCACAATGCAACTGGGAATCTTTCTGTCACCAAACTCTTACGGAGGACCAGGAGCTGTCACCGCCTGACTGCTGGGGACATGCATGCAAGATACTATCTTTGCTGTGTACACAGTTTGTTCCTTTCCCTACCTGACTCTGTCTTCCTGCCTTCACAGTGATTTATCATTCACTCTGACAGCTTCTTCCTATGTCTTCCAAAATTATCTCCTATCTTTACAAATTATCTTTGTCTGGAGGACAAAGCCCAGGTCTTAGTAATCATCCTGTCTCATACACACCTTCCTAGGGATGAAGCACATATTTTCTAAAGCTTTTTTTTTGTGTGTGTTCTCATGGAACTCACACAGTAATCCCATAAGACAGGTACTAAAATAACTTATATTTTACATCTGATAAATAAAAGCACAGAGGGGCTTATCAGTTGGAGCTAGTTTGGAATTCTGGGCAATGAAGACACACAGTCAGCCTGGGGTGGGGTGGGCAAATAGGATGGCATTAAGTACCCTGAAAATTAACCTGTGAAGTTGAGGACAGCAGCTCACACTGCAGAGCAAGGACAGAAAGGGCAAAACCATCTCCGGGGGTTCCTCATACCAACATCCCTGATACCTAGAAAATGATTAGCCATGTTTCATCCTTTCCATCTGTCACGCTGACTCCGGAAAGATGGCTGGATGAGGGCTCAGTTATTTTAATGAAGGTAGCAACCGGTCCCACATGGCTGAACGCATATATGGTTGGCGCGTTAAATGGAGGCTTTGGCACACGGCAGCCCTGTGCACTATGGTGTGAGGTCTAGGTATGTGTACCAGCGATCCTGCCCGGAGTGTGAACAGTGAGCTCAGAGTTTTATCTAGCATCCTGGATGAGGAGAATTGTGTCATTGGTCTTTGGGGACCACTGTGACTTGAGATGTTTTTGTTAACTTCCATACCCCACAGACAAGTTGGAAAGAGTATCTGAAAAAAGCAAATAATAGTAGGCACATGGGATCTGTCTTAAAGAGCAATAAGGAAAGGTGTGTTTTGATGGAGAGATTGAGGGAGGGTCAGGTCAGAAGTGGACAGGGAATATTAGGGAAAAATGAAAAAAGATGCACCAACTGTCATAGAGGACTTATTTTCATTCTAAATCTGATACTAATTAGTTTTATGGTTTTAAACAATTCAGGTTCTCAAGGTGTTCATCATTGAATGAACAAGGTGATGTTGACACTAGGGCTCATCAAATGAAATATATTGGCATATCAAATGGTATCATCAACCTATTTCCATTTTATAATGAAAGGGGAAGTATATGGATTGCCTTCACCTCTGCTTATAAATTTACAATGTAAATTATAAACTCTCTTGACTATAAATAGTACATGGTGCAAATTAGAACAAGTACACATTGTATTTACTTCAGTTAATCAGAGTAGTCATCAGTACAATGGTTGGTTTCCTATTTCAGCCTGAGTTATAGTAACAAAGTCTGTGATTGTAAGAGCTTGGCTTGTCACTCACAGTACTGGCCTTTGAAAATTTCTCCCTCCAGTTAGCAATTGAATTTCATACTATTCACCATTTAAGAAGATATCTTCATCCCTTGGCTGAATCCCATTAACTACAGAACACACGCACACACACACACACACACACACACACACACACACACACACACACACACGAACAATCATTGCTTATAAATGCCATTAGTTGAGTGCTCATGGCTCACGCCTGTAATCCTAGCTTCTCAGGAGGCTGAGATCTGAGGATTGTGGTTCAAAGCCAGCCCAGGCAGGAGAAGTTCATGAGACTCTTATTTCCAATAAATCACTCAGAAAACTGGAAGTGGCACTGTGGCTCAAGTGGTAGAGCACTGGCCTTGAGCTGAAGAGCTGAGGAACAGTGCCCAGGCCCCGAGTTCAAGCCCTGTGACCGACTTAATAAATAAATGCCATTAGTGTGGTATTTTTAATAGTTTGTGTAAAATTTCAGAAAGTCTGCTTTCTGAAAAGTTTACAGTTCTAGCACTCAAAGGACTAAAGATGAATTTGAAGACTACATAAAATACTATACCTGACTTGTCTAGGTTGTTCAGTTCTTTCACATAACATTGCTATTTATAAAGGTTCACGTATGTCTAATTTTAGGCTTGTCTAATTTTAAATGGTAAGCCCTTTCAGCACAAACCATGACTAATTGTATGTTTTGAGAAGTACTTAGAGCACGGTTGGTGCTCAATAAATGTTAAATAATTGAAAATGTTAACAATAATCATATTTGTAAGCACATTGAGCAAAGACTGCTCCTAAATATGCTTCAGTGGAGGGCTCAGTGCATTGTTGGCAGGCAAACACCATAGAATGATAATAACACCAAATGGTACTCTTGTTTTTTCCAGAAATAAAAGGGGATTTTAGTGCTATTAACTCCAAATTTAGGGTCTGGAGTAGGCAGATAATGGTCTATGGACATCAGAGTCCTAATCCAAAGAAACTGTAAATGTGTTAAGTTACATGGCAGAAAAGAATTGAAGCCTCAAGTGGATGAAAGTTACTAATCAGATGACCTGGAGTTGGAGAGAATATTCTAGGTTGTCTAGGGGAGATGAATGTAATCACAGTGTTCTTATAAATGCAAATAGAGAAGTGCATGCCACAGAGAGATTTGAAGACGTTTTGCTATTGGCTTTGACAATGAAGAAAAGGACTATGGGCCAAGAGCAGCGGTGGATATCTAGAGGCTAAGAAAGCACAGGAAGCTGATTCTCCCAGAACCTCTGGAAAGAACATCATCCTGTGTTCCCTTTGACGGTAGGACTTCCAACCTCCAACACCATAGATAATAAATATGTGTTGTTTTAAATCATTAGTTTTATGAAAATTTGTTACAGCAGCAATACAAAACTTAGGCAGATTCTTTTAATTTTTTTATTGTGAAAATACTGCACAGAAGAATTACAATTACATGGGCCAGGTAATGAGTACATTACTTATCAAGCATTGTTGCCTCCTTCTTTGTTTCCCCTTACCATCCCTTTCCACCACTCCTCCCCCACCCCCACACCCTCCCTCCCCTCGCCAAAGTTGTAAAGTTTGTTTTTCGACATAACGTCTTGTACATCTCATTGTTGCCCTGGGCAGATTCTTATATGGTGATAAGTGCTTTGTGTGTGTTCGGTGATGACCTGGAATGCTGTTTACCTAGCATGGTCCTCAAAAGATAACAGGAACAAAATGTAAACACAAACTCTCTGTGTTCACTAAAACCACCAATGTGCAGAAGAATGTATATGACCCAAAGGTAAATAGAAGAGAATGTAGACAGTTCTTTCTATGAGACCAGTAAAATTGTGAGGTTTTTTTTCTTTTGCAAAATTCCTTTTAGTATGACCTTCATAGTTCCAACAACATGACT